TGTAGTGTAATGTAGTGTAATGTAGTATAATGTAGTGTAATGTAGTGTAGTGTAATGCAATATAGTGCAATGTAATGCTTTGGTTTCTTATGTATGATGTTTTTTGTTTGTGATATGTGCTGTCATGTTACTTTCTGCTATTTCTTTGCTATTTACGGGCATCCTATGTCTCGTTATGCTATTGAAATGTATCGTGTTAAGTTATGTTATGTGATTTGTGTTGTATTTTCGGTCGGTTTATGTTGTGTTATGTGTGCATATGAATACTATGTGCATGTGCTGCGTGCGTACATATGCAGGTACACACACCTGTTCACCGTCTGGTTATCATCGTCCAGGCGTGCAAAAAGTAACAATGCCGGGATGCTTCCTACACGGAGTTTGTTAAGCATCCTTAGCTGGAGCCATAAACGAACCGCTTACGACGATGTTCTAAGCTCCCAAGACTAATTATTCTGAATCGAGATAGGTGAACAAAGGCTGTACGTGAACTGAACGCCACGGTATGCGCTAAACCCGACACCCCTAGACCACAAGATTGATTGGGACGAGCCCTGCTTGTGCTCTGAGGCCACAGTCCTGTCGTCACAGTCTCGCGATCAGGCCCGCGGCTTTTCGCACGGGCAAAGTCAGTATAAATTACTTTATAACGGTGCTCGAAATATCAATGATAATCCAGCAACGGCAGTGTCATTGACGGTAAATACTGCTGACTGATGCTCAAAATCACCATAATAATGATCGGGTTGTCTTAACAAGGGTTTTGTCTTGGGCTTTGAAACCTCAAACCGACCCGGTGGTCTCGATTTCACTGCAGAGCTTCCGTCTTGGCTTGCTGCTGCAGTCTCACGAGTACTGTAACTAACAGCATAGATTGGACGCAGCCCTAACCGCCCAGATACATACTATATAGGGTACTAGAGGATCTGGGGCCCTATATAGTAGGTACCTGGGGGGTTAGGGACTAACAGCATTGATTGGACGCAGTATCAGTAGAATGGGAGAAAACAGTTAAGGATCGTATCTGACAGGCAGGAACTCCATGCCGGTGGAGGCTTTGTCAGAGCTTGATGTCATCCAGGCGTGTGGAGACGATGCATGCCTGGCATGTGTAGCCATCGTTGAGCTGATTGGCATGCTAAGAGGTTGTTTCGTCAATTAGTTCCAGTTGCTGATGGCGCATGGGCTCAAGCTACACGCTAGCGATACACCGCACATGCGCGGGACATACCGAAGACATTCAGGTTTGCAAGAGCAGACGATCATCGCGAAAAGGTCTCCCAGGTCCTTCACTCATACTAACCACCAGTCTGCGAGCACATGCCAGCGATGGAGCCCCAAGCAGAAGAACTGCAGGGCGCCCTGCGGAAGCTGGAGACATTGCAGCAGCAACAGGAAGAGTCGGCAGCTGGTCTCCAGCTGCTGGCCACCCAACACCGCGACTGGCAAGCAGCCGTGGCAGAGTTGTTGGGCCAGGTCTAGGGCCCCCAAAAAGCACATAAGCAAAAATTAGGATAGGGATATCCCATATAAACCCCCTTGTAATGAAGCCTAATAAGGTAGGGATTGTCCTTTTGGGGCCCCCAAAGGTCGAGTCTTCACTGCGGGATGATGCGTCGGATTCGACCCCGATGGCTGCACGCCCGGTTTGCAAGGAGGCCAGCATGGCACTCTCGGCCCGCCCCTCGTTCCGCTCAGTACGTTCCTCGGTCGTCTCCAGCGAGCTGAATGACCCGATTCCACGAGAGACGGAGTCCGTCCAGCTGGAGGACTTGGATGAGAGGGGGAAGTTCACCCGACTCAATGCGGTGTCCTTCTTAAGGAAGGGACCCCAGATGCCCTCTACTCACAAACTAGTAGGGAGGGGGCCTTTGTCGAAGCTGGTCTTGGAATTCATGCCAGACGCCGCAGAGAACCTACCTCTCGTGCCCCTTAGAGGCTGGAGTTGGCTGAGACAGACGCTGCGCTTCTGGTTTAGGGTTTAGGGTTTAGGGTTTAGGGTACCGTCGTTGCTATAAAGGAATTAACAAGGGTACTATAAGGGCTGCCTGCAAGACCACACACTATAGCTAGCATAAGGGTACAATATGGGTTACCTACAAGGGTTCAAGGTTTACTTTCTCGAAGCACGGTTTCCAAGAAGTTCCCATCAGCCACCCTAACCCCCCAGTTACCTACTATATAGGGTACTAGAGCCCCTGAGGCCTTATACAGGGTACTAGAGCCCCTAAGGCCCTATATAGGGTACTAGAGCCCCTAAGGCCCTATATAGGGTACTAGAGCCCCTAAGGCCCTATATAGTAGGTACCTGGAGGGTTAGGGCCAACTCAGGACTGCTCGCGAACTTGTGAAGTCTCGGTGGTTCGAGACCTTGGCGGGCCTGATCATCCTGCTGAATCTGATCCCTTGCAAGATTTAAGGGTTGAAAGGTTGGGTTTTAGGGGCTTAGGGTTTAGGGTATGAATAGCAAGAGGCTGTATGTCGATACGAGTACACCATGGACAAAACCTGCTTTCAGACTACACATGCCATGCAAGGATCACGATCGGAGCAGAAGCTCAGCTTTCTTTGGACAGGGAAGCGAATGCGGACGCTTTGCCACTCAGCAAGATTTCATGGCCTCGGCACTCGCTTGAGCATGACTTTCCTGCAGAGTCCTCTTCGGAAGACTTGGCTGCATAGCACACATGGTGTGTTGTTTGACCCGCCATTTGCCTTTTCACAGAGCTGGGTGAAGGAGTGGGCTTCGGAGCCTTGGGCCACACCTTGATTTGCACCAACTTCCAAACTGTTGGAGCGTCAGAAGATGGCTACCCCATGCTTAACCTAACGGCCTGTGAGACCAGCGAGGTTCAGCCGGAGACCCTGTGAAGAGGAACTACAACTTAGCAGTAGAGTTGGTAACCTTTAACCTTTTTGGGGTATTACCATCCCTATGTAATCTTAGAGGCTAGCCTTTGGTTCCTCTAGGGTACTGGACAAGTAAGACAACTGCCAGTGGTAACTAGGCCGACTGTCAGAGTCGATCGGGTGCACATTAGCCATCAAGGATGTTAAAGGGATGCTTCCTTCCTGAACTTGGCAGACAGATCCAGACTGTCCTGCAAAAGGTTTCTGCCAGCAGATATGGGGCTTGGAGAAAAGACGTTCGCGCGGCAGGTACAGGAACCAAGTGCCACTGAGGCTCACAAAACCTGACACTCCTCCAGCCCATCAGCCTGTGCACTTCAAAAGCATCGACGAGTTGATTACTAGCAAGTCTTTTCCATGAGACTCTTGAGACCACAAACTAAGACCGCATGAACGGATTCGCACCCTCGCGCTGTCGTGAAACCAAAGATTATGGTCTCCACAGCCCCAGCCGCGCAGCCTGCCCCTTGTAAGGTACTTCCTCGGCATCCTGGAGCAGGTGTTCCTCATCATCTACAGCTTAGCCACGCGCCTGCACAAGCTGAAGAAGTTGGCCTACCCCAAATGTTGAAGAACAGGTCTTCATCCCACAACATGAGTATGCGGCGGAAGTAATTCAAAGCAAAATTCAACAAACAGCCTGGGCAGCGCTCCCGTATAAAAGAGCTGATGCCGCAGCGTGGGAATCGCCAGCGGATCGTCAACCTCATGCGAGTCTTCACTATTTTACCTGTAGCCTTGACCCTAAATCCTGCACTTATTGCCATGCCTGCATTTGCGAGTGTGTGAGTCGAAACCCTAAACCCTGAACCCTAGGCATCAAGTCATCTTGTTTTCACGCCGACTGCGAACACATGGATCCTTGCCTGGCTTGTCCGCGCTGTGAGAGTAAACCCAGAACGGAAGGGAGGAGGAAGTTTCCCTAAGGGTCCATGTACCCAAATAGTTTATATTTTGGCCCTTTAAAGTACCTATATAGGGACTACTTTAAGACCGAAGTATATATTCTTTGGGCACATGGACCCTTAGGGCTTCTGCATGGCTGAGGAAGTGATCCTCCGAGTGATGGCCGTAGGATGGTCTGCACTTTGGCCAGATCGGCCCAGAGATGCCGGATCATTCGTAAGATCGGTTTTGTAGTACATGGGTAGTTCTTTAAATTAGGGTTCCTTTTTAGGTCCCCAATATAGTACGGCACCCTTATAAAAAGGACCCTAAAAGGGACCCTAATTTTGAAAACTACCCATATTGTGGTATATTATAGTGGATTATGGTAGGTTATAAGTAGATTATAGTAAGGTTCGGATCCCAGAATACAAACCTGGTTAGCCAAAAAAGGAAGTGCAATGGAGACGATAGGCAGAATCAGTTTAGGGTTTGTGCTTTGAGGTTGAGGCTAATTTTGCGAGATGTGGGGTTTAGGGGTTAAGTCTAGGGTTCAGAATTTACAGGGTTTCGATGGGATTACGGTTGAGGGTTAGCCGGTTTCGAAGTTTCGCGGCAGATGGAGCCTGTTTTTGGAGGTTTCCAGGAGCACTCAGGGCGCTGAGTTTATGTCTACATTGCCCCAGACTTCGAAGCCCGACAACCCCCGGGCAGATGCACGTAGGCGCCACATAGCAAAGCTTACGCAATAAGCATTGGACCGCAGCCTCGCGCCTACCCTTTCTTCACCCCAGGACCCAGGCACTCCAAATTTACACCCTGTCATCCCCCCGAGCTGTGGCCTTTACGAGCCCTCTTAAATCCAAAGCCTAGGTATTCTGTGACCTCTGGTTTCTGATGGACTTGGCCCTGGTTTCGATCGGCATCCTAGCGCTGGTCGTCTTCCCAGGCAGAGACATTAAACTTGCTGGGTTGTAGTGTTGATGTATCCAGGAGCACACGCATGGATTAGGAAGTGCTCAGCTGGCAGAGCCACTTTTGTGTGCAGCTGTCGCTGTTAATGTGGCTTTTGGTGTGTGTATTGTTCTTGCTGTTGTTGCTGGTGATGTTACTGTTCCGGCTCCTTGCTGCTGCTTCCGCTGCTGCTGCTGCTGCTGCGGTCTCTGCTGCTGACTATTATTGGTTCTTGGTGATGTTGATGCCGTGTTGTCGTCAGCCGTGTCGGCAGGGCGGTGAGTGTTGTGGGGGTGGCGAGTGTAGTGACGGTGGTGAGTGTGGTGCGGGTGGTGGGGGTAGGGGGTGGCCGCGATGGCGGTGGCGGCGGCTGCTTGCTGCTTATTGCTCCTGCCGCCACGAACACTAACTAGCGAACTATTTTTCATCAGATGTTGCACCTTCATCTTGTCCTCCATGCCCGGGCACATGTACGCCAGTACGGCTATAGACTTTCTGTAATCACAGCTTCAGCGAGCCACACCTTGTGGGTGTGGCAAGTTAGACACATCTGGACAACATAACCGGTTTTTGCCTTGTGCAGCTCGGCCTGTGGACTACACTTTACCCCGGACATTGCTCAACTATTCATAGTGCCAACCCTTATAGATTACCCACAGAGCCCTATGCGGCTGCAACCTGCAGGAATGTACACAATTGGTTTGGACCTTCCTCTAGAAGGCTCCTGCGCTGTGGGCTTTGGGCTTTGGGGTGGGCTTTGGGGTTTGATTCCGGGTTTGAGGGCCTAGATTCAAGCAAAGGCATTTAGGAGGAAGTCCTTCAGGGGAGATCCTGTCAAAGAAGCTGTGCCGCATTCATTGCGCTGGCTGCAGGGGCAACCCTGCAGTCATGCATCGCTTTGAAAACTGAACCTTGGAACGAATGTGGTGTTTTGCAAAAATAAGCTGCCAAATGCAGAACTCCGATTCCGAAGCCCTCAATCAGCATGTCCGTTGCAAAGCGGCGTTCTGATTTACGCTCATTCGCACAGAGTTTGCTCTCAGAATTGGCCCGGGCCCTTCGTTCTGGCATACTAACTCGTTGGGCGTGCCAGATTGTCCGACACAGGAGGTACATCAAGAGCTCGAGGGTGTCTTCTTGCTTGTAATGCTGCGAGCGTGAGATTGATCCAGGTTTCGAAACATTCCTCGTGGTGCGTGGGCTGCGCTTACTGCGGCTGTTTCGTGCAATGCGCACTTTTCGGTACTTCAAAATCATGTGGCGCCACTGGGCCTGTTGCTTGTGGTTGAAAGCTTGGTTCTTCCGTCGGCTAATTAGGCTAACTAGTAGCTTTGCAGTTGGTATGAACATGTATTCATGTATGAGCAGACAGTATTTACAGGCACCACGGGAGTTAGCAGACCGCAGACCCTTCATCAACATGTCAAAGAGACCGCGCTGTCGAGAATAAGAACAATGCAGGACCCACAATCGTGCCATGATGCGCTTGGCAATCTTTGCTTTAGTAGTACCATTCTTAAGTGCCACCATTAATTACCCCTGACCGTAGCTACTCTGTCGTCATCATTCTCATGAGCAGGGTGAGTGTTGGGACTGCCCGAAGCCAAACGACAGGTAGGCACTGGTGTTGCGGCTACAGCTTTTACTGTGGCAACTGTCGTGAAAGACCTAGGTGCTGTGGAACTGAAGGTGGTGGTGGTCGTGGTGGTCGTGGTCGTGGTCGTGGTCGTGGTCGTGGTCGTGGTCGTGGTCGTGGTCGTGGTCGTGGTGGTGGTCGTGGTGGTGGTCGTGGTGGTGGTCGTGGTGGTGGTGGTGGTGGTGTTGCTGGCGCTGCTGTTGCACTTGTCGTCGTTACTGTTGTGGTGGCTCGTCCTGTTCATCGTTGCAGACATCGCTCTTCGGGGGATGTGTTTGCCACTGGCAGCGACCCGTCGTCAGAATCGTGCAGCGTGCTGCTTGAGATTTAAAGCAATAGCAGGTTTTCAATGGTTAGGCCAGGTTTTGGAGCTCCACGACCGCATGACTATAGCAAGCAGGAGCGTTTTGCAAAATGCAGCTATGTAGTTATCCTTGTCTTCTCGACTTCCTTCACTAAGGTGTTCACGTGTGTGAGAGGCTAAAAGACTGCTTTTGCTCCGGTTGACCTAAGAGACCTCGCAAGCTCTAGTCACTCTAGTCAGCCTCAAGATCAGCTATTTGACAACTTGCTTTGCTGAGGACTGGTATATGCCCTGCTTTCCTGCGGCCAAACCATCCTCTCCACGACTCTGTTGTCGCTCGGATGAATCTGTTCGGGGCACATTGCGTGGATCCTCCTCCAACCCGAAGACTCTCGCCCTGAAGCTGCCAACTCTGTGAATCCCTCGTCTTCCAAGTGCATGCAGATTTCCAGGCGCGAGTTCAGTTGCTTGATATTCGGAGCAGAATGCGAACTAGCTGTGTAAGCTTGCTTGGATTGCGCCACTTCTTCACACATAGTTTTCAGACTGTGTAACTTAAGTCGATGCTGATACTTTGCGGTGGAGGCCACTCATTGATGGACTGGATGCTGCTGCAACCCAGGATCGTTGTTTTTCTCTTCATCTGCGCGTGTGTTGCCATCGAGATCATTGCGAAGGACAAGACTCTGCTCGCAAATGAAGCTTTGCGAAGCCACTGGCAGTTTTCATTCCAAGGAAATTAGTCGTAGAGGCTTCGAGGGCACGTTTAGATGGAAGGGGACCTCCAGCAGGGATGTCTTTACTGTCTCAACTTCGCACAGAGATAGCTGATACAACCAACTCTCAGCGTTCGGCAGCTAGAGAAAGGCAGCATTCCTGTCACAGCGAGAGTGGCTGCTTTGCCAGGCTTTGGTCCAAATATTGGAGGTTTGGATTCCGATAGGGGTTCCTTCAAAGGCTACTTCAAGGATTCCTTTAAGGGCTCCCTGTTTGATTTGTAGGATTTTGTAGGCATTGGCAACATCTTAATGAGAGGTCAAGCACCCACCGCCCTATTGCGATTCTGCATGTGACCACTCCATGTACGGGACCCGTGCATTCGTGGAATATCGAATTTACACTTACGCTGCTTTGTGTGCCAAAGCCCAGGAAACCACTGCCAAGATCATTGAAGACAACTTTTTTGGGCTGTTCAAGGCTGCACTGACCTTTCTTCAGCTCCTCCTCTGAAATCTCGATGCTGCTTCGGGGGCGATGTCTATTTCAGGGTTCGGAACGTGGTTGAGATGCTTGCGAAACGGCCCCGCCCTTCTGACTTGGGACTATAGGGTTCAGTGTCTTCCTACTTCCCCTGTTTCCATTGTCACGGATCGTCGCAGAATCTGTAGACAGCATATGCTGGTGGGCAGACCGATTCAGAAGTCGTCGCCCGTGACAGGGACTGCAGATACTTCTCCCACATTCTGCGCAGAGATTCCGCTGAACCATCATGCGATTCTCTCGGAAGTTGCAAGCCATTCCCGTCCCCGCTTGCAAGAACTACCCGACGCGGCCATGTAGCGACCGCAAACCTTTTGGCCGGAGCTGTCTGGCCAAGCCTCCTTCAACATAGTCTTCTACTAGCTCTCTAGGCATAAAATTCAGCGCAGCAAGGGTGTTCTCGTATCTGGCGTCTCACATTTCAGATCTGGCGCTTTCAGCCAGCTGTAGCCTTCAGGAGGGATGGCTTGGAGTTCCAGGTTCTGCCGAACACGAGAGGGATCGATAATTGTTCTCTGGTTGGCTTTTCGAGATTTGACATTTGCGGCGAGGGCATGTTGAACATGGATACGGAATGGATTCGCCACTCTGCGAAGGTTCGTCACCTTGGACTCCATCGCTGCAATCTATTTCCCTTTGCTTCTTGGCTTACCAGGTGTTGTCGGAGGTATCGAGCTGGTGGGCTTTCAACATCTGAGACCCTGTGCCCGGAATTGAAGAACTCATCGCAGAACTGTGGCTTAGGGGCAACCCGAGAGCAGACACGGCATGTCTCTTGCTCCGTTACGGCCATGTATGCCGTTATTCTTGCTACAGAGGTGAATGACAATGATGCCGATGACCGAGAAGGTTTATAGTATGATGATCATGAATCGGCAATTGCCGCTTGCTAGTAGGGTGGCTGGTCTGATTTTGGGCAGGTAGCATGTCTTGCTTAGTCCTCTTCCTGTTGCCTGAAGTGCTGGATGTGGAGATACATTCTTGTACACACGGTGGATCTTCAGTCCTTCAAAATTTCTGCCTGTCGCACAGGCAGCGGCTGCAATGATTGGTTTGACGCTGGCAACCGTAGCCATAGTCCTGAAACTGAGCAAACAGAACTGGCAGTGAGAAGAAGAGGAAGAAGGTACGAACTGCTAGCGGCAATGGCAAAGCAAAAGCTTTTGGCATTGTGCGGGGCATGAGGGGGCTCAGAGACTCAGAGCGGTCTATGGCGGATGCTGGGTGGCCACCACCTTCTCCATCATCGTGTTCGTCACCTTGCTGCCCCGTCTAGCTTACCCCCAACGATTCAATACAAAGGTAAGTGTGAATCTCGACAGGCACACACATGAACGTATATCCACGCATATTGTAGCTTGCAGGTACATACTTACAACAGCCAGGTGCCGACTTGCTTGTACAAAAGACGTTCGAGCACCCATTCTGCATGCATGTGCAGAGGCAGCCTTATGCATAAAAACCGTACAGTATATGTTTTGCATGCACACATCCACATACACAGGAAATTAAGTAAGCTTCCAAGTTGATTGCATGCATAAGTACATGCATACCATCTCAAGCCAATACCTAATCTCTACTCATAGTCGCTTGGCCTTGTGGCAAAAGATCCTGAAACCCTCCCAGACTCTAAGCCCCCAAACCCCTCAACTCCTATCCCCTGAAACCTGGACCCCACACCAGGATCATGTCCAAGCCGGAGCTGTTTGCCTTTTTTGCACCCATCCTCATGTTCATCTCGATCGGCTTGATGAACTTGGTGACCTGATTGGAAGACTAATATAGGCCTTAAGAATTACCTATACTATTTGGGGTTCCTTATTATAATTAAAGCATAATGGGCCCCAAAACCCTATTCTAATTATTAAGGCCCCTACATTATGAGGCTTCAGGGATGTTTATTGGGGCATTTATGGGTAAGAGTGTAGGCTGTAGTGCTTTCAGGATTCAGGCTTTAGGGCTTTAAGGGCCTTCGTCTCTAAGGGTAGGCTTGAGGGGGTCTAGGGCTATGAAGGTCAAGAGTATGCAGTAGGTTCGGGATACTAAGCCTCACGGCTTCATGTCTTGTGACCTGTGGATGTCTGGGTTTTTAGGAGGCATCACGAGCTGAATAGCGACGCTTCCCTTTTGCGACAACCTGAAAGCAAGGACTACGTAAGAACGTGATAATGTCATGTGCCAAGATCACCGTTGGGTGTTGCTCTCAATTATGAGCTCTGTGTAGTAGATTCCTACTTCATGGGGTGCCCATAGGAGTGACACAAGGCACTGTGTGGATCTTATGGAAGTCTCGACAAAGCACAACGCTGCATGGTGTCGATGCGCATCCGTTGACCAGGTGTTTCAGCCAGAGTTGGAGTCAGGCGCCACGATGTGAGAATCTGAGACAATAGGGTAGTTCTCTAAATTAGGGTCCCTCTATGTATAGGTCCCCAATATAGTACGGCACCCTTATAAAAATGACCCCAGAAGGGACCCTAACTTAGAAAACCACCCAATAGGATCCTAAACGACCCCTTGGAAGCCCGCCTGTCCACTCAGCCTTTACTATAGTGTTAGCGGCTGATTTGCGCCCCTCTGCTTATGGTTGGAGAACTGTCGCTGCTTTGCCCACGGAGTTTCCTACCAGCGCGAACCTTGCTGCATCGACAAATTTACTCCACACAACCTCACCCCCACAACCTCTCCTTGCTATCTATCTATCTATCTATC